TGAATTCCCTACCCTTCGACGCCCCCTACTTCAACGCCACTTACATCGACTATAACCTCGTCGTCAGCAATCACAATAAATGCAGAGTCTCGGAGTTTTTGTAAGTATACTAAAATAGTTAATTAAGGCATCAGAATCACGTATACTATAAACGGAAAAAAATCTTAACTTGTTCAGTGTAGATTTTTTATATTTAGTCAAAGAGACGATGTTAGCGATGATTCTCTTAATGCGAATCTCTCGTTCATTAAACTTAACGCGAGTATCTAAAATGCATTGTAATTTCAGCATAAACTTGTCAAGTAAGACAGCGGTGTTGGCACTGGACTGCCCCGACCTGGACTTCGCGTCTAACCGGCTCACCATTCAGCACAGCTCGCTGCAGGAGGATAGACTGTTCAACTATAATATACAGGGAACTTACCGTCAGTAATAATCATCTACTTTTTTACTAACGCTTTTTCAAATGACTAAAAAACTGACGATCAACAAAACTCTTTGATTGATAAAAATTATGGAACTCTCTATATTATCGTCTTTTCAAATGCAATTTTTTGTAAGTGAAGGTTTTACTTAACTTGTAGTGTTTTAAAACCCTAACGTACTGTTCAATCCATTTTCCCTTTATATCATTTTCTTTTAAGGAAATGATGAGAAGGGCGGCGTAGGAAATGCATAGGATAGTGAAATGTCATTAAGTGAGTTCTCCTCGGATCAAAGATAGGCAACGCATTGCAACTGCAATTGTGGGTTCGTTTTTATATCACGGTAGAGACTCTCACATTTTTGCCAACTTAAGTAGTGAAACCTTATAAAAGTGTAATTCTAAAAGCCTTACTATTCTGTTAATTACATAAATAAAACGTTCATATATTTCAGCTTTAATCCGTCTTACAACAAACTTGCGCGCCTCCAACGGCCTGAACCTCTGTTCATCGTTCACTTTCGCTGACGTAGCCGCTCTGCCGAAGTTCCGTGTAAACCCTAACAGTAAGAATTTTTTTTATAACTGCTTTAAAATCATCTCTATCTTATTCTACTACTCGGCACATGGATTTTCATCTTCCAAATAACTATCGTCATCCAGTCACTCCCTTCTTAATCAACCTTTCACATAATCCATCTCTTTCTATCTCCACTAGTGTTACCGCTCTCAAATACTCATATTGTTTTACTATTTTTATATTACATGTTTGTTTTAGATCAGAAGACTGCGAACTTCCTTTCTCGAGACCTCACCTTGGTGAATATTTTCGAAAGGGAATGCTTCTTCTGGCGCGCACCGCTGCTAGCGCGTTATTTCATCAACTCTCTTATTTGCGACTATGGTTGTGACTATTAGAGTTTTATAACTTTAGCCCCCATTGGCACGATCGCTTTAAAATCAAATTTGTTCCTTTCAATCAGCGTTTAAAATGCAGCACTGCGACGTAAAAACGTCGCGTTTTAAAAACGCGTATTTTTAACGCGCGTTTTTAACCCGTGCGAATGGGGGTTACATCATTATTAATAGTAAATTTGGAGAATCATTTGGTAATATCGAAAACATACAAAGATGTATTTTTGTAATAAAATTGTTCATTAGGCTTCTAATTATTTTTTTGCCTACCCTTTTAGGTGAGGTTATAAAGAAAACAATAGTTATATTTGCATATTTATTTATAAAACATCACATATCGGAACACTATGCGTTGTAAGGACATTTCAAAGGCCAAGCTATATGACTTCACAACTGTTAATAAAATTTAAAAATACTATAGTTTGAGTTACTTCAGATAATTATTAACAATTTTAATAATTTCTTCAATATATTTTACAATAACTTTATTTGGCTATATTTAGTACTATTGCAATTTACACTTGATTTTTAATTTTTTAGAGTCATTTTTTAATATTTTCAATATGAAATAAAAAAATCCATTTACACATATTTAAAAATTGAATCTTAATATAATTTATTACTTAAGTATTATCTTTCCAAAAAATATTTAATTTTTACTTAAAACAAAATTTTCAATACATTTATGTAAAACATTCAGAATGATAGTGTACTTAAAATTTTATGCAAAAAAATTATTAAAACTCGTATCTAAAAAATTGTAAAAATTAGATCAAATTGTTTAATTTAAAAAAAAATATACCAAATTATTCTATCATATGAATTATTAATTTTAACTATGAAATGCGATATTTTTCCAAATGAAACAGTTCTAGCACAGTTAACAGAACAACACTTATTAAAGATGCTGACTACGAGGCACTTTCTTAACTGGACCACCAAAGCTAAACTATATATACACATTTACAATATAATCTTTATTTTTCAACCAATACCAAATCACTATATAAAATACTGTCCATTTATGTAACATTTATAAACTATGTTTTGGAAGTAAAATATTCCAGATTTTTCGACTCCGTGTCAAATCTGCTATACTATACACCTGAAAGTGTCTCTCTCCTGCCATCCTTCCTTACCTAACCCTTTTATAAGTTCTTACACAACAAAATATCGATGCGTAGTAATAAAAATTTAACTGATCAGTCGAATTGATCAATTAAAATGAGTGTAGGCAAAACTTTAACTAGACAGTTCGACTGATAGTGTAAATTTTTGCCTACAGTCGCACAGTTTCAACGTTCAGTTTAAGAAAATGTTTTGAATTATACAGTTTATAATATAATTAAAAAGCTATTCGAGCACAATAACATGATAGGCAAACATGACAAATTTCCAGGAAAATCAAGTCTTACAGTTTTACAAGGAACTGTGACGTAGGTGGGGAGGGGGTAATGTTATTGTGGCCGCGTAATACTTGAAGGCGGTGACCTTGGAGGTCATTAATATTTACTTAAACTAAGTTCTTTGTTAAGGCTTCATAAATTTTTTCAGATACACAAAACATCAAACAATAAAATACACTTGTTAATTGATCACTAAGTGAGACACTTAGATAAGAGACTCCTTAATATAGTTCGCTATAGGAACTCAAAAACTACTGGAGAGAAATTAAGAAATCTTGTACCATTAAAAAACTATTACAAAGTTTACAATTCCGCGCGAAGTCTCGGGCCTAAACTAGTTTATAAAGGACTCCTTAGTGATCAATTAACGTCTCTGAGTGCAGCATTAAGACATGCAATAGTAAATATTAAATTAAGTATAACGCACTGGATACTATATTATGGCAAACTGTCTTTTCCTACATCACAAATATTAAAACAATTTAGTTACAGAATTACATATTAATAAGATATATAATTAAATAAAATAAAAAAACCTATTTCAATTTGATTAAAAAAAAATCAAAACATCGCTTTACAACAATTTCGTTCAAATCATTTTTAAAATCGAAAATATTCAATAAATTTTAAAAAGTAAAAAAAATTAAGCTGTTCTAACATATTTTGAACATTACATCAATTTTTTTTAGTAAACATTTGAGTCTCATGTACAAACAATTTTTACTCATTTAATTCTAGTTTGCAAAGAAAACTCATGTATTAGAGAAATTAGAATAGCTACGAAATAAAACATTTTTTTAAAAAAAGCTCTAAATACAATAAGTATATTTTTAAGCTTGCAAAAATAAACTTTTAAACTTTCATTACCACAGAAATATACATTAGTCCTATTTTTAAATTTCATAACAGGAAATGTCAAAAAAAAAATATTTTTTGCAAATTAATCCAAATACATAAAACTATTTGAGAATAAAAATAACAAATTTCTTAATAATTAATTATTTCATCGCATTATTATGGAGATTCTAATTTCTAGACTAATAAAAAAACAATTTAGTTCATAAAAAATATAAAACATTTCGAGAAAATTGATTAATAACGTACGATTATTGCAATAAAAATAACACGCTAATAATTTAACATCGACAACGTTGAAAAAAATCGCAAAAAATATCCGAGAATTATCAAAAATATCATTGAACAATCAAGAAAAAATAACAACCAATAAAATACAATTTTTTTACGTTTTTTAAACATTTATGAGTACATAAAATTTGTTCATATAATCTTAATAGACAGAGTTTGCCGAAAAAAATCAACCAAAAAATGTTCAAAAACACGATTTTTTTTAGGAATGTCTGATTTTATTTGCCTTATTTTTTTGAGTTTATGTCAAATTAAAAAGTAACATGTACTTTTAAACTCAACCGTTGCCTAAACTAATTTACAACCTTTACAACTAAAATCATTTCATTAAAATTCTATTAGCAAATATTTAAGGCTGTTTTTTTAAAAAAATGGATTATGCTTTATAAAGATACCATTTTCCATATATTAGTACTTAAAAATGTTCGACTTTGAGTAAAAACAAGTGGAAGATAAAAAAAATCATGAGTACATTTCTAATCGTGCTTTTTTTAGACAGGAATTTAAAATAAAATCATGAAACCAAAAGATAAAAAAAAAGGAAAAGATTTTTTTTAATATAACATAAAAAATTAATAATAGAAATATTCCAGTAACATTTTAAACTAAAAAATACCAGAACAAATAGAATTACTACCAAATAAACTAAAAAGTAATTGGTGGTGCGATATTGTTTTCTATAAAAAGACAAAAAATTGACTATTGTATTTTTTATATTATTCTTTTATACGTCAGTCTAAATGAATCTGAGATGAGATTAGGTTATGGATAAACACTAAATAAAACTAAAAACAGAAAGCGAACAGCTAAATGAGATCTAGATGATTTTGATCTGGCTTGCAAGGACCAACGTCAATCATATCAAATGACATATTAAATATTCACAAAGAAACTGTTTTTAGATTTACTATCCATTTTTAATTGATGATATTGTACAGTTAGTCCTCACACGAATCCTTTGTGACGAGCAAACGCAGGTATTTATAAATTATATACAGTCTTCCCTCGCGTTTATTCATCTGGGAATGAAAAAAAAAATATGATAAACATAAAAAAAATCGCTTCAATTAAAACAAAAAACGTTAGAAAAACAACTTAAAATTACTAAATGTAGTGCAACAAATGTACTGCTGTTCACAGGACGCAAAAAATTACCAACAGATTTAAAAAAAATTGTTCATAGATAAATGTTGATATTTTTTGTACCATAACTAGCAAAAGTAGCGGAAAAAATCATAATTATTCTACACACAAGGTTATTTAATCACCAGATATATGACATTAACTACTGCCGATATAAATCATATTTAAGAAAGTAAAAAAAAAAAAACAAATCGAAGAATATTCAAAAAAATATTTTTTTCCCTAATACTGTAAATATACCAGTGAGTGTAACTCAATCACTCTTTTAATTCCTTACATTATATTCATAAAAAAATTCCAAATAACATTTGCCTATTAATAAAATCACCTTCGCATTTTGTTTGTAAAAACTAAAATTTTTTTAGGAATTTACTAAAAGAAAAAAAATTTACATTTAAGGTAGCAAAAGTATGCATTGCCCTTTTATCTGGTAATTAAAAAAACCGCGTTTATTTACTTTATATACTAATAAATGAATACATACTATATTACATACATACTAAAGGCACCTTTTCGTAATCTATTTAAATTTATTTACGCTATTGTACTGTTTAACAATATTTTAGATGTTACCTTCAATTCGCAACGTAGAAAAAACTCTTTAAAAAATGTCAAACATTTTTTTG